AGCCAAACACGTACACATATGATAAAATGAATGTCACCATCGTGTTCTACGCCCCAAATTACCCATAAAACATGTGTCACAGGGTGCGAATATCAGTTTTGATTTTCGGGGATAAGTGCCTACCCGGTTGACCTGACCTTGACCCTGACCTATGCTTGACTGACCCCTACATGGAGCTGACACTCTTGTAGGCCTTATATGATGGATTGTGCACCGTTTTGACAGAGTTTATGACGAGAGGCGCCCATTGCGAAGTCCTGAAGTCCATGCTACTGAAAGCCCGATTTCAGGTGTTTGACCTGACCTTGACCCGACCTGTGACCTCAAAATTCAACTTTAAAGTGCTCATCTGAAGCGTCTCGTCGCGTTCTTTCGTTTGCCGCCTCGTGCGTTTCACTGCGCCTATTGGTTCTCGAGTTATCGGCTGGGGGCGTTTAACGCCCCCCCCCCCCCAGCAAACGGTGGATGGCGAAACACCCCAGCAACTGCCGGGTTAAGAGGAAACAATTATTTACGTAGTTCGGTTTGACAGTACAAGGCGTAAAACAATCTGGTGTTCAAAATAGCCTTGTTATACAAATACAGAAGCAACGTGTACCAATCCCATCGCCTTTTTTCTTCCACCCGTATTTAATTGATCGCATAGGGGATGTACTGAGTAGAAGCCGGAGCCGCCGGAGCCGGAGCCCCCGGTGCCGAATCATTTTACTCGGAGCCAGAGCCGGAGCCGGAGCCGCCATGACATTTCACCCGGAGCCGGAGCCGGAGCCGGAGCCGATTTTTTTTCTCCGGAGCCGGAGCCGGAGCCGGAGCCGTCTGAAATTTCCACGGCTCCGCATCCCTGGTTTCTTCACCCTTTTCGGCACGCAAAATTCAGTTGATAGAGTTGAAGACTTCGCCATTAACGTAAATGATGTAACTATACGGCCAACAAAACATATCAAAGTGCTGGGCGTTCTCCTCGACCAAACCCTGAGCTGGGAGCCACACATATCCTCCATTATCCGCCGATGCAACGCAATCCTCATATCATTATTCAAAATTCGTCATCACCTCTCCCCAGACATCCTTAAAATCCTTGTCCAAACCCATGTCTTCCCCCACCTCCAGTACTGCTCGTCAGTCTGGGGTGGTGCCTCCAAATCCCGCCTGGACCGACTGCAGAAGGTCATACATTTTGCCGCACGATTGGTCTCTGGTCTCCGTAAATTTGACCGCATCACCCCCGCTCTCGGCGCGCTCGGCTGGCCCAACATTGGGGAGGTGATCGCGCGCAGGGACGCAGTGAATGTGCATCGCGCCCTGTATGCCGCTGGTGCCCCTGACTCGCTACGGGCAATGTTTCGCCCACGAGCCGTCGTCTCAGAGAGGGCCACGCGTGTCACCGCTGCGGGCTCGGCGGTGATCGACTTGCCCCGAGTCCGCCTGGCGGTGGCTCGGCGGCAGTTCCCGTACAGAGCCGCGGCGGCTTGGAACGGGCTGCCGCGAGAGGTGACGGGGACCGCCTCCAGGGCACAGCTGATGCGGTTCTTCCGATAGAGATATGTCACCACCTGAGTGTTTTTTTAGTACCATTGTACATTTTGTGTGTCTTTTACTATGATGATTTTTGTGACTTAGGTACTCTCATATTGCTTGTATTGACTGGGCCGTAATAGCCACCTGTGGATCAGCCCTAATAAACGAATTACGAATTACGAATTACGAATGAGAGACAGGGGTGCGACGTAGCAGGGGCGAGCAGGAATAGTTGCAGTCTGCAGGGAATGGTTTACCGGCGACTGTCTCACATCTGAGACACGCGGCGACGAATAGGGTGGGATGAGGCGGGACGCCTACATCCGCAGCACCTGAGCGGCGGGCGGGCGCTCCCCGCCGGACGGGGACGTCTACAGCCGCCGCGGCGGCACCTGAGCGGCGGGCGGGCGGTTCCCGTCGGACGGGGCACAGTTACAGCCGCCGCGGCACCTGAGCGGCGGACCCCGCCGGACGGGGCACAGATCGATGGCGTCCGTCGGGCCCGGAGACACGGCACGTGACACAGCCAGGACGGCGCACCGGACACCGCCAGCCAGCTATTTCTGACACCGGACAAAGGACCTCGAGACAATGGGCACAGCCAGCGCAGAACAATCGAGACTCTTCCGAGAGGGGTCACACGATGGAAAATTCATCGGATCATGGCACACTGGAGCGTTTATAGAAAGATGAATGAGATTCTATGGATTCTGAATGGGAGGCGGATGTGGCGTTATCTCCGCGAAGGTGGCAGGACTACCGGAGATATGGCACGGGCCGAGCTCCTGGTGAGACCAGCCCACACCCGACAGGCGCCGGGGCAGCCACTGCTCACTAGCAGTGCAGTCACGGCAGCAACCGCGACACAAGGGATGTGTCATAGCACGAAATGAAGAGAGATGACTGAAAACTGAGTACAGAGCAGCGAAGAGAGGCAGGCTGATTCCGCAGGCACCACAATATGACAGGAGATAGAATGAACTAGCTCGATAGTCAGCTAGAAGACCGATCCCCGCTCGCCCTTCGCAGGCGAACAAGAGCGAGAGGAGCGTTATGCGACCTAAGGAGTACTTTGCTGAGGACTAATACGGCCGGTCATTCACGGGTCTGCGCCGGTCTGCGCTCCTTACGACTCGGTCTGGCGGTCGGCTTCGGCCGGCGGCTCCAGCAGAACGCGCCTGCAACGTCCATCCAAGGCCGGCTCAGTCAGTGGGTACCCTGGGTGTGGGACAGCGGCCGTGGGTTCCCCAGTGTCCACCCAAAGCCCGCTCAGTCAGAGGGTACCCTGGGTCCGGAACAGCGGCCGACCGCCTCAGAGGCGCCAGTCCGGCTAAAGAGCCAGCGCAGCATAACACCTCAGCAGGTGCACCAAAACAACAGATCCGGTGTTGCACAACCCCACCCTAAGCTGCCGCACCACAACACCCAGGACCGGCGCAGCATAACACCCAGGGCCGGCGCAGCACAACACCCAGAGCCAGAGCTGCACAGTACCGGAGAGTCGGTGCATCACAACCCCATCCCAGAGCTGGCTCAACACCCCATGCGCCGCCACTCGGACCCAGTACCCACCCAACCCATGGACAGACCATGTTCATTGTTCAGCTAGACCACAACCACCCAACCCGACAACCCATCCAATGTCGGTCCGAGAGGGGCCGACACCGTCACTCGACTCCGGCAGGAACTCACCTATGTGAGAACTCGACACGCTTAACGGTGCGCTCTTTCCGCTGTTGGACGCGTTCCAGGACGCTGCCGAGCCACCCACGGACAGAGGCCGGTCAGTCGGGGCGGGGAGTGTGTGGAGGGGACCCTTCACCGCCTCCGAGTGCATAGGTGCATTCAGCGTGATGAGGGGCACATAGCGGGCGTGTCACAATCAGCGCCTGAAGCGATTAGTGGAAGCAAAGGGGAGCGGGTAGCCATATGTAGAAAGTATGCAGACACTTTAAGAACTTATATCTCGTAGTTAGTACAAGCAAGGATTAAATGAGCTTGGACAGCCGCCACCTTAGCAAGGGTACACATACGCTGAACGACATACCTGGACACACGCGCACGTCATTTCACACCCACACACTAACACACGCACTCAGCCACACAATGGGGACGGAATGCCATTCAAACCCAGACGGGGCTAAGCGTTGATCCGAAGATGCAGTGCGGATTACGCTCGTCTCGAGTGGTAATAAATCAGTCAGTGACGGTAAATACAGCCGAGATAGGGCTCGCAGAGATGGTAAATCAAGTCCCATCCGCCGCGCCCCGAGACAGCTCGTCCCTCCGGCCGGCTCCAAATCTGCATCTCCAACGAGTCGCCATCAGTTTGATCTGCCAGCCACCGGCGCGGCGGCCGCTGCCGACAAAACATCCCACCCCTCTCCCTGGCCCACCCCACTCGGCGCTAGCCGCTCGGCCGCAGAGCGGGTCGGCGGCACCGGACCGGCGCGGTGCCGGCGGCGGCCGGCCGCGCTGCCGGCGCTGTCTGTTCAGCAGCAGACCCTGGGACAGGTCCTGCCAGCCGGCTGGACGGCTCGACGGAGCCGGGTACGAGCGGCTTATGTCGTGAAAACGGAAACGATCGACTGGACAAATCGTCCATGAACCATTTGTAGGGTACGGGTGGATATACCTGGAGACCGATCGAACCCCATACAGAGGTGGGCACGGAGACACACAGATACACGGACTCATCCACCACGGAGTCACGAGTCGACCGTCGGCACCACCGCACACAGGGTCCCTCGCCCCACATCACCAGTGCACCGTCCGGACCCCGTGACCCACCACAGCACCCCACACTGGGCTGAGACAGCCGCCCGAGCTGCCCCGACCACCACACCGCGCCGGTGCGGCGGCCCATTCAGCCGGCACATACGACGGCACACAATGGCGCTCTAACGTGTCAGCGGCGGGGACACGGTGACCTCCGGACATAACGTGTCAGCGGTGAGGACACGGTGACCTCCGGACATAACGTGTCAGCGGTGAGGACACGGTGACCTCCGGACATAACGTGTCAGCGGTGAGGACACGGTGACCTGCGGCCTGCGGGTGGCGCTCTAACATGTCAGCGGTGGAGACACGGTGACCCCGGGCCGGTCGAGTCACTGCCATCAGTGTAGGATGACCTGGCGGACATAGTTATGTCGTCCAGACGTTGTACCCCCAGCACGGACAGGTCAGACAAGGGTTATGAAGGTCGGCCAATGACAGAACATGGCCGGTGCAGCCCGGTCAGACGGGGCTGCGGAGAGGTCGGTGGCTGCCGCCCGGATCGGGGCCGGTCACTCAAAGACGGGACTGCGGAGAGGTCAGTGGGAGCCCGGGCCGGGCCGGGTCGGGTCGGGTCGGGCCGGTCACTCACAGGCAGATCTGTGGGGACGGGGAGGTCAGTGGCAGCCGCCCGGAGCGGAGCGGGTCACTTCCACAGCGCTGCGGAGAGGTCAGAGGGAGGCCGGGCCGGGCCGCTCACTTACAGGCAGTCGGGGTTGGCCATGTCGGCGTGCGCGGCCGCTGCCGAGCCGTTCAGACGCGACGTGCCGTTGCTGTTGCCGCTCGTACTGTCCAGCCGAGAAGAGCCGCCCGCTTCAGGGGTCACGGCCGCCAACTTTAGCTGAAACACAGACGGCCGACGGTCAGTGACAACGCCCGCCACACAACACCACCTACCGTCATATGGATACCAACTGTCATGTAATACAGCGTAAACGGAACCGAAATAATACAAACCCATACATTACACAGCGAACAGCAAATGGACTAAAATAGTATTTACTAAACTTCACAATAACTGAACTGGGCTGAAACTGAGCGGTGACTAAGCTATATAGTGGCCATTGAATGCACAATCACAGTTACACAAACGGGCAGCATGATAGACGACCAGCCGGCAATTAACTAACACCCATCACTCAAACCAACTCCAAGACATGGAATGGAAATCCACCACCAGCAAACACAGTCCCAGCCTCCACACACCAATAGAGCCCAAAAGCACAATCCAGCGCCCTGGTCCTGGGTCCATCCGTGAAATGTGGGGCGACTGGACGGGGCTCGATTGCCTGGTCCGCAGGCCCCGCGCGTTCCTGCGGCAGCCTCCCACATCGGGTCTACTAGCAGCACCATGGCGCACCGGCCGCGGCTACTAGTTAGCAACGACCCACAGCCGGCGGCGCGACGCAGCCGACACGCCGCAAACCGGCGGCCGAAACGGAACAACCGCGAGAGGGCGGCCGAACGATTCACCGGCGCCGGCCGGTGAGCAGTGAGCACTGAGCAGTGAGCACTGAGCAGTGAGCACTGAGCAGTGAGCACACGTTCATCGGTGTCACCGCGCACTGTTTTAGACGCGGCGAGGGCGAGCATTATCATACGTTTTCCTCTGAAAGTGAGACGTTTTACAATAACGGACCCTGTTTACCGGCGCCCCGGCGTCGGAGGTGGCCCCGGGGAACCGTTTCATTTGGTAAGAAGCCGCGCTATCTGGGGAAATATTAGCCGCCGCCAAGTGCCAGCGGCCCGGCGCGGCTGGGCCGAGAAAAACAGGCAGCCGGTGCGCGCTGCGCCGGCCGGCCGGCTGACGCTTCTCAGGCCTGTCGGACGCCGGTGTTAGCCGGCCGACACGCAACAGCCGCCGCCGACACCGGGCGCGGCCCGCAATCTCCGGCCGCCGATCCGCCCCCGCAGCCGACGGCCTGATGCCGCCGATAACAGCTCGCCATTTCACTGCCACGACACAGGGGGGTGGGCTGAAAACACGGGCCGCGGGACTGATCATCGACTCGACTGCCTCCTGGCCATCAGAAATCACCAATTTAGCGAGATGCAGAGATGATGCATCACATCGTCTTCCAGCCATGGGCCAGGAAGCACAGGTAGCACCTAAAGGTAAACGGTAGCACTTGTCGCGTCCGTCAGCAGTCGGAGAGTTTGACGTAGTACGCGTCATACAAACCATTCCCGTCTCTCAGCACCAGCCACCTGGGCTCGCACTTCCGCCGCCAGCTCGACCGCCACCCCCACAGCCAGACTGCCGCGGACGGAGCTGGCCGCGGGCGGGGAACACGCCTCTCGAACACTAACGAGCGCGTCAAGAGCCGCCATTAGGCCGCGCGCGGCGCCACGAGGCGGCACCTGAGCACGCCGCGGCCGGCCCGGCGCCGTGGGGCCGACGGCAGACCCTCCCGGCCATCAACAGCAGCGAGAAACGCGCCGCAAACACGGCGGGGCGCACTGCTGAGGACCGGTCTCGGCACGTCGGAGACGGGGCGCTGCCGCCGGCGAGCACGGCCGACACACCAGGCAGACAAACGAACAGCACAAGCGAGTTGACACGGCAGTGGGCATCGTCTTCGCCGCAGCCCGCAGACGGCTACGGTCCGCAGAGGACCGTCTCTACGGTCCGCAGACAGTCGTCCGGTACCCGCAGCCGCGCCGCTCGGGCAGCCGGGGCGGCGTGTTCGATCGATGGTCCGGTTAGTTATTTGGCCGGCGCCGGTGCCCCGGGCGGTCCGACACGTCATTAGGCGGCCACTGTTGATTACCCACCGGTAACTCGGCCGGCACACCGGCGGGACGCGCCGCGCCGCACCCGTGATCCAGGAGCTCGCAGTGGGTCAGCCGGGGGGCGGCGGGCCGGGCGGGGCACGCGACAGCGAACGGGCGGCGCCCGAAAGGACCGCGCACGGCTGAGGTGACCTGATGGGCCGGCGGGTGAGGATGGCACGGGCGCAGACCGCAGGGGAGAGGGGCGGCTCTGGAGCTGGAGAACGGCCGAGGCGCGGCGCCAAGAATGGCAGCACGGTGCTGGAATGATTCGACCACGACAAACCAAACAACCCTGCCGCACCCTACAGGCTAGCACATTCCAGCTGCCCGATCTGCAGCCGGCCGGCATCTGCACCAGGTCAGCGGTCATGGCGGCGGCATCCCTCCCGGTATCGCCGCACCGTGGTGTTTACAGAGCGGCCGCCTCACCACCACAGGGCGGGGCCTGACAGGGGAGCGGCCGTCCGGCCCCGGGACAGGGTCGGACGGGCTGCGGCTCCTGAACGGCAGCGGGCCCTCAGTCTCCGACCACGGGACAGGATCGGAGCGGTCCCTCTGACCACGGGATAGGGGAGCGGGCCCTTACCACGACAAGGTCAAACAGGGGAGCGGGTCCTTACCACGACAAGGTCAACCAGGGAGCGGCCCCTCATCAGGACTGGGTTAGGCAGGGAATCGCCCCCTACCAGGGCAGGAGCAGGGAGGGAGCGACCCCTCTGACCAGAACAGGAGCAGGCACGGAGCGTGACCAGAGGGTAGTATCAGGCAGGGAGCGGCCCCTTACCAGGACAAGGTCAGACAGGGGATATCTCCGCCCTGACCGGCCGTTGCAGGTCGGCAGACCGACCACTGCTCACCGATACCGCTGTTTGGGTTACGGCCTCATCTGAGCAGCCCAGCAATGATCAGAAACATAACTAATCAGCATTCACGAGCGTCCCATGGCCCGCGGATCAAAGGCAGGATTGGATCACCGGCCTTGTGATTACGATTAGCGAGGGGCCCTTCTGTGAGGCAGTGACGTCACTCCCGCAATGGGACACTGCAAACGAACATCGACGGGGATCAGCGTAGTTTTATGGAGGGAATCAACACCATCAATCGTGACCGTGCACTGAGGGTCGAGGCACACCCGCCCGTCTTCCAGTGGGCAGCGCTGGGCCTTGGTCCCACGTAATAACAGCATACTCTGTTCTCCCACATTTGCCCTGCAACAAAAGCTTTACACGAGCCTTGAAACACCTCAGCACCTATGCTTCGTGTCCTGTGCGACGTACAAACTGCATTGTTGTACTATTACCTGCATTTGCCGCCGATTCCGGCATCGACACCACGGTGGGAGCGTGTGTCAGCTCTGACACCGTGTGTCAGCTCTGACACCAGGGCCGGCGCGGGCACAGTGTCAATTTGTGTGTCAGCTCTGACACCAGTGGCCGGCGCTGGCTCGGTGTCAGTTTGTGTGTCAGATCGCTGATTCGGTGTCAGTTCGGGTGCTCGAGTGCCAGTTGGCCGGCTCGGTGTCCGTTCGGGTGGCAGTCGCTCGTCCCGGTGTCAATTCCGGCGGGGACCGTTCCCGTCCCTCGGGCGACAGACCGCATTGTCCGGCCGACGCGCCCCGTCGATGGCGGGGTGTCGTGATGACGGGTTGTCGGCGATGGCGTCCGCCCCCCCCCCCCGCGCCGGTTCCGCCGGAAAGGGGGGTGTCGGCCGGTCGGGCGCTGCTCGCGCACTCCGGTCCGGGTCGGAGAGGAGATACTGCGCCCACCACCCCGGACGAACGGAATACGTCAGTCGGAGGAGGATCCGTCCTCCCGGACCGCCGAGCCGTATCGGCGGCCAGACGGCCCGGCGCGGCGACCCGTCACACTACCGCGGCGACGTCACCGACCGAGACATCGCCGCCGTCACCGACAGCGACATCACTGACGTCGGATAACCCGGCACCACCGCGGCATCCCCGACAGCGACAGCAGCGCCGGCCGCCGGCTGCAGCCGCCGCCCAGCCGGCTGTCAATGGCGCGCGATGGACGCACTCGCTTGTGAAAGAATGATGGCGACGGCGGCAAATTGCGAGTCGGGTTTAAATGTGCGGCAGAATCTATCGTCCCTCTTCCCCGCGTCAGCGTGCGGGATAGCCTATTCCCGCGACAATGCGTGGACAAATATATTCACTGTTGACAATGGGCGTACCGAATCTGTCTCCTGCAGCAGGGAGGGAGACAGGAGCTCCTGAGGCAGGGGGAGGGCAGGGTCCCTCGCGGCAGGGTGGAAGTCATCGCAGGGAGGGCAGGACCCCTTGCGCCGCCCCGTGACCCCGTTCGGCCGCTGACCGCCCCGCATCCCTCCGTTCCGGATGTTTGCAGCCATCCGCCGGATATGTTTGGGCGGAAGCCTTGGCACGTCACTTCTTTCGCACCACAAAATCGCATTCAGCACTGGTGTTTATTATGTTTCACACGCGGCTGGCTCGCTAACAAAGACTCGCCAGTCGGGCGCGACCGGCGACCGCACCGGCCGCGCACCGTGCCTAAATAGCACGACAACAATAACGGGGACAGGAACGACAGGCGGAGGGTAGGTCGGTACTCTGCAGGACAATGCCGCTGCCAAACGACTAGGTGTCAAATGCAGACATTATTACATAAGAAGTGTTGTATTACATTAAAAGTGGCCCCTATTAAGAGTGGCTAATCAATTTCTGTCTATATATTCACAGTCGGCGTTCAGTTTGGCTCTGTGTTGATCACCCCAGACCACAGGCAGAGTTTGAAATCTGGTGGAGTCTGGTGCGGGTCACCGACCCCACACTGGAACCATTGCCGGCCCCCGGCGCTAAGCCCGGTCCGTTTGGACATACCCGTGTCCGCTGGGCTTTGTTACAGGCGAATCGGCCGGCGCGGCCGCCCGCCCGTGCCGAAATATCCCCCATAAAGAGCTTATCGCGTCATTATCCTATGCATATCCTGTGGCCACAAAACATTCGGCTTTCCGGCGTAAAGCACGTCTGGCCCTGCTGTGGACGGGTTCGACACCGGGCACCTGAGGACCGGACACATGAGGACAGGA